AGAGTTTTATCATGTTCTCGGGGCGCCTGGGTCCTCTGTTGTTTAAGCATCTGCCATCGGCTCAGGTCATGATCTCAGGATCCTGGGATCGAACCCCACATGGGGCTCCTCGCTCAGTGGAGACTCTGCTTCTCTCTCTCCGTGTGTGCTTTTCTTTCTCAAATAAATAAATAAGTACTTAAAAAAAAAAGAGTTTTTTTCATGTCCTGGACACCAGCCTGGACACCTTGCCTACTTGTTTGGGCTCTGGACCGAAATCACAGGGCTTTGGCCTAGGGATGGGTTTAGAAAGGTACAAAAACGGAAGAAGCAAGGGACGGGGGTCAGAATCTGGAGAGACAGAAGTTTGTTGGTTCTTGCTTCTGATGCCTTCCTGACCATCATTGTGCAAATGCCAAAGGCAAGCATGCGCACACACCCGCTCCTGCGTTGGCCTGGTTCTTCCAGAGTGGAGGGGAAACGTCCTCCCAGCAGAGAGGGAGCCCTGTTCACTGGCTCCTTGATTCCCACACATGGGCTGAGCTCTGCTCTCCGGAAGGCCCTGTGCGTGAGCAGTGAGGACACTAGTAGAAGCAGGACACGTCCCAGCCCTAGGGGACTGAGTCTAGCGGCCGCAGTCCTGGCAGGAAGGTGGGGAGGGGTGCCCTGGGACCTGCAGAAGAGGTGGAGGCAGGGTGAGCGGGGTCGGCTCCCGGGTTAAGCACTGCAGTGGAAATGGCCCCGGCCCAGCCCGTGGAGGCGGGGGGAGGCTGGGGTGACCAGAGGGTCCCCGTGATTGCTTCTGTGCAGCTGGTCCCCGGGAAGCGGATCTGTGACTCTGGCCCTGTTTGGAGATGGGGTGCCTTTCGGTGGGGAGCAATTTCTGAAATGCATAAATGCTCTGAGCGGTTTGCTTTGGATTCTGGAGAAGGCCGAGTACTCTCCTGTGGCAAGAAGGGTCAGTGTGTTGGGCCCTTATCACATGCCATGTGAACACAGTGAAGATTTAGTGGCTTTATTCCTGTCATCTCCAGTGGTTCTGTGAACGACCGTCCCTTTGCACGAGGGAATGCAGAGGTCACGGACAGCCCTGTTCTCCCTGGACTGGGGGAATCCCCACTGTCTCCTGGGCCATGAGAATTTATTTGGGTCTCCCGACGTCCCCATGGCCCGTCCTAAACAGTGGCTGGGTGTTAGTGGGAAGAAATGAAGGCGTCTCAGAGGTCTGAATGGAAGAGAAGCTCCAAAGAAGAATCGAGTTGCTCTTTTCCTGTTACCGGGGGACCTTTGAGGTAGTTGCAGCCAGCGGGGCAAGAACCCCTGCCCCACCCTCACCCTAACGGAATGATCCGTCCTCCTGGAGGTACGTATGCAGAGAGCGCGTTCTGCTTCGTTTCTCTGAGGTTCCACTTGAACTCCAATTCTGTGCTATGTCACGGCAACGGAAAATCTTTAGACGAGGGTGTGTGGTGGGTGGAGGTTACAATAACACTGGACGGATCTCCCAACCACTAAAGGTCCTCCTACGCCAGTGTGCACGTCTTCTGGCCTCTTCCAGAAGGGGTCAGTAGCAGCGACTCACAGGTTAAGATTCTGACCTTGCATCAGAGGAAGGAGAACATTCTCAG